ATGAATCCTCAACCTAAAAACTAAATTTATTCTTGGTGAAGATCTTAACCGATATATAATTGAATTATTTCATCAAACGATTGACGGTTTAATTCACAGGTCATGAGATCCAGACGTTCTGCACGTTCCATCATAATCAAAAGCAATTATTAATTTCATCTCAATTTTCTGCACATCATTAACAAAAAAAAGCATTATTCAATTTGCAATAATAACATTTATGTAATGCATTCTTTTATTACTTACCAATCCTCTTGACAAAATAGCAGAGAAAGTATATGATGAACAGTAACATGAGAGGAAAATACATTTTCATCCGACAAAATTATATTGTTAATTACAAGATTTAAAAGATAATTTGTTAACAAAAAATATATTTTGTTGTATCTAGTTTCTACAATTAAAATTTGTTATGGTAGGGATTTAATTAACATAAATATCTTTTTCTTAATAGTATAATTGAAATTCAAAGTTTCAGCAGCCTGATAAATTATACAAATCGCTCTTGTTACAAAAATATATTACAATCAAAATGAATGTTCCATTAGTCGTTTGAACATAGTTAAAGTTGCTTATAACAAAAATAAATCAAATGCGTCTTTATTGTTTTCTCTTTTGCTTACTTTAATAAAATATTAGCAATTATTTTTTTTATTCATGATTTGAAAATTGAAAGAAAATATATATTTCACAATTCGCGTGTAAAGGAAAAAAAAATTATTCGTTTAACTAGATTAGACTTAATTAGACTTAAAATAAAATTAAATAATCAAGATTTTTATGCATTTTATGCACGTTTTATATCTCTTGATATGTCCACATGTGATTTTCGAAAATTATATTTGAAAAGAAATCAAATTTTCCAATATTACTTTTCTTTAACTTTCTTTCAGAAAAAGAAAATTAAAAAAAATATTTTTTTGGCACACTTTGTAGCTTCCATAGAGTTCATAAATAAAAGAATGAAAGACAATACAAATAAGCGAATTTAGAAAAATATGTTAATAATAAATTCTAATTAATTTTATGAAAGTCACATAAATTTTTTGTAGATAATATGTATCAGGCATTTGTAAAATTATAATTAAAAAAAAAAAAAAATCAATGTAACTTTTGTATTGCTTTCAATTTTGCAACAGTACACATATTATATATATAATTGTTCTCCATTATCTATACGGGTATCACAAAACCTTATTCTTTCATACAATTTAAATAATATTTTATTGTTTCGAAAAAGAAACAAGAACAATGATTATTTTCTTATTTTCTTCCTTTAATTTATTAATATTAACGCAAATTATAATATTGATTTCAGCAAATATTTATTATTGATTTGATTCTACATAGATGGTCAGTCTTCATCTCAGCTGACTTTTGCCTTCTTTTACTATCAGCTATGCCAAATATTCTTGTGTAATGTCGGTTTATATTATTTTTTATAATTTGTTTGATACATATTCAATGTTATATTCTTTCTTATTCTTTCAATGATTACATGTATAAAAATAAAGATTGACAAAGTAAAATTATCTAAAATTTAACAATTGCATACTTTTTGCATTGATAAAAATTATGAATTGCTATATATAATAACATTGCTACATAATGAAACTGCGACTAGACGAAATTCTATGTATAAAGCGATATTCGCCAATAAACGCTAAAAATAATGCATTTGTAGTACATCTATTGTTAGATTACAATTTTTTTTAATTGAAACAATTACATATAGTTTATATTGTTTTTTCTTTTTCATTTTTTAATTTTTTTTTTCAAATTGAAACTAAATTTTTAATTTGTATGATCTACCGTCACAATATGATAAAATTAAACGAGACATGATAAAATTTAATTATTACATTGTATAATATCATTATAATAAATGTTGAATTTAAAATTATACGAATGTATATATCTATTCTATATATAAATGAATATATGTACATGTGTTATCTTCAAAAAATTTTCTAAATATTACACTTGTATAACATAAATAATAAAAACTTCAAATATACATAAAAATCTATATAGATTGAAAGACTATTTTTAATATATTCAGTATTTCTAATGTAAATTGTTGTACTGTTTGCTAATATCATTGACTTGCAATGATAATTTTTTAATTGATTAGTAAAGATTACTGTAGATGTAAATATAATATTTTCTTTTTCTTCTTTAATAAAATAAAAATATTGAAAATGATTAAAAAAAAAAGTGCCAAATAAAGTATTAAACAATTAATTACAGTAATCCTATCTTTTAACGTTCTTGCCTTCGAAAAAAGCTACCGAAATTAACATGATACTTACGTGATATTTAGCAATGATATATATAATTTCTTGCATCTCTTCTTTTTATCTTAATCAATATTAGGATAAACATTCCAAGTCTAAAAAGATGTTCTATAGCATTATATTAATTCAGTCAAATTTTTCTTCCTTAAACGCGACGTTAATAGCTTCGCCAACGTGTTTTACTACGAATGCAGGCTTGCCAAGACCATCTTCGACTGGTAAGAAGTCTCTAGGACTGTGCTCTGATATAAAATCAGAATCTCGTTGATGAACACCAGTTTCAACTAAAATACTAATACAAGCTTTTGCATTGGGTGGTTTGATATCCTTGTCAAGTAATTTCTTCAATTTATCAGATTTTAATGCTTCCTCTTTTGCACAATAAGATAAATATTTATCGTACAAATTTGCACCAAAAATATCAGTGTTGATGTTATCTCTATAAAATACAAATTAAATTTAATTATATGTTCATTTTAATTCTTAAAATTTTGTTAGTTTTTTAATATCTTCAATGGATTAATTACCCAATAGCATATATGGTGTTAACATTATCTATACCAATACTTTTAGCATGTTCATGAAGCATATAATTTGCATGATAATATGTTATTTCACTAGGTTTTCCGATTAGAGCAGAATATATCATATCTTTTCCTGTAATCTTTTTATATAGTGATTCTAGACAAAGTAAAAAAGTACCATGACCATATCTAGGAATCGGCGCTTCTGATACCCATAATAAATCCATATTACATGCCAAGATTGGAATGTGTGGATATGGAATATCATCAAGCAAACCAGTAGGCATGCCATTAGTCATTAAAAGATCTATTATGAGTTGTAATGGGGTTTCCCAAGAAATGGGTTCACTAAATAATACAATGGCTTCTATTTTAGGAAATGTGGGATCCACAGGACCACATATTGGATTTCTCTTTTCCATATTTACATAATCTAAACAAGGAAAATTTTTCACTAATTCTTGAATAGTTACTGTTTTTTGAAAACCTAATTCCTTAGCTATTTCTTTAATTGGTCCTTGACCAGATATTAGTACTTGTTTATTATGGAACTGATTAAATAATTTTAATGGTGAATGAGCCATAATAACTTGTGATTCTTTTACTTCAAATCCTATCCATTTAGATAAATCTGCTGCCTTTTGACTACGTAATGCATTTCCACTATTAGTAACAAATACAGTTGGTACACGGAATTTGCCATCTTTTCCTTGCAGTTGTTTAAAAGCTTCTGATACAGGTGATAATACTTTCTTGCCACGTACTAATACACCATCAATGTCAAAAAGTAAACCAAATTTTGGTTTAATACTTAAATGCTGAAAAGAAACATAATTCTTATATAAAATAATCATAAAATAAAAAAACTTTATAATGTTTATTGTTATTATGTGTTTAAAATAATTAAATATATATATATTTATATTTTATAATTATATAAATTACTATTGTTTACATGTTTCATAAAGAGTTATAAAGTTACTTCATATTTTTGGAACAAGATATTGATACAGCTATATAGACCTTGAAACAAGATATAAAAATATACTGTTATGTTATGAATGTTATATAGTATATTTTTATACTAATGCACAATGCAATGTTTGACAAATTTTGCATCAACTTTTTGTTTTTATCAACTTTATATTTATAATTTATAAATTATAAATTTTTGCATAATATTGAAAAATGAATATAAAAAATACAATTTCAAAATCTTTTAATTAAAATAATAGAAATTTGCATTAAATTTGATAATTTGTGTTTACGAACAAGTAGTTTATTTAAAAATTCAAATTTTAATCAAAAAAAATTAATTTTAAATATTTTTTAAATAGTATTCGAATAGTATTCGAATATTTCGAGAAAAATGAAACTAACGATAAATAAAAATTTTGTCACAACACCAATTAATTGCGAATAAATGAATTATTATTATATTTTCAATTTATAGTGAATTTAATTTAATCTGTGTCATAAACAAAAAAAAAATGAATAACGAAACTACTTTGATGTACAGTAACTAGAATCAAATATAACAATGGCGTATGAAATGTAACTCACTCTGACCCCCGTGAATCTTACGATGTCTGGTCGTAATAATATTTTCATAATTGCCATTCTAATAGTGGCAATAAATAAATAAGGATATGATGATAATACTTTAAACTTATATTATGTTCAAAGGTTACTTCTCACTGATAGATTATGCATAATGCAATTTTTTGAGGTTATAGTGACCTATAGATCACACAGTGGATTTTATCGTGTTTTTCCTATGTGCCGTAAGAGGACACAGGATATACTTTACAATACAACTATCATTATTGTACATCGTATATATTTTATGTTTTATTAACATAAATTTTCTTTGAATAAATTCATTTATTCTTTTTTGAATTAATTGATTTAACATTTTTTCTAGATAAATATTTATCTAAAATGTTTAATCTACAAATATGAATGATACTTTATACACTAGTAATACTTTAGACTGAAGTATTGCATTTGGTAACATCGCTTTTGGTTGAATCGTGATAACATGAATGTACAACAAAAGAAGTTCTTTAATAAATATATTGGAAAAATTGTTAACCCTTTTATTAATTCTAAATTTATTACTATTGCATTCTTTTGTTAATTAATACATTTTGTACATTTATGTTTATTTTTCAATTATTGTATGCATATTTCATTAGAATTATTTCCATCGCAATAAATTTTAGTTACTTACTTTGATTAAATTTGCAACGATTAAATAATGAGATGAAGGGTTGGATAACCTGTGTAATCTTGAGTATAGTCAAATTTTTATCCGAACAGTTTTGTTAAGAATTTTATTGAATAAACTTTGTTTTTATATTTTGTGTTAAATCAAAATGTTTATAAAATCGTTTAAAGTAAAATCTAACAATCAATTGAAAGGAACAGAAAGGTTAGTATAATTTAATTTATATTTTCAATAATTTATATTAATAGATATATTTATTATTGTCTTTAATTAGGAAAAAATTATGTGAAGAAATTTCAGCAGTATATCCCACGTTGACAGATGAAGAGACACAAACGTTAATTCCTAAAAAAGAGGCAATAAGTGTTATGAAAATTGCAACTCACAATGGTCACTTAGGAAAAATTTATTGTGTAGCTAAAATACCTATGTTTTTTGAACTTGAATCTTTACATCAAGCATTATTACCTACCATATATACTTTATGGCATCATCCAAATTTATTAAAGACTTTTACAACATATCCCCCAGTTATATCAAAATTAATAGGTGGTGCAGATTTAATGTTGCCTGGTGTCTATTTGAAAGAACCTGTGACATTATATTCTTTTGGCAAATTACAAAAGGGTACACCTGTTTCAATAAATACAGAAGATAATAAGGTATAATATTATATAAATTTATTTTTCCTTAGCATATTATAGTTTGATAAAAAAATATATAATTTTACTTTTTTTTTTATATAGGCACCAGTTGCTGTTGGTTTTACTGCACTTTCCAGTGAAGATATGTATATGTCTGGAGGTCATGGAAAATGTGTAGAAATTCTACATGTAATAGGTGATACATTGTGTCAACTTGGAAAACCTCCTTTAAGGCCAAATTTAGGACCACCAAATATTGATATTGATAGTGATAAGATAAAAACTATAGATGAAATAACTGATCAGAAAAATGAGAATAATGAAGAATCACTTATTGAGACAATGAATAATTTAGATGTGAATAATGATTTAATATCAGAAACTGAAACTCTTGAAGAAGAAAACAAAATGGAAGAAAACAAAATGGAAGAATCTGTTAAAATTAAAACTATAGCTACTGATGAAATAGAAATAACTATGGATCCAATAAAAGAAATGGACAATTTACTTGAATATTGCTTCTTAAAAGCTTGCAAAACTTCAATAAAGCCTAGTGACTTACCAATATTAACATCCAATTTCTTTAAAAATCATTTAATAGCTGCATGTCCATCAAATAAAAATATAGATATAAAAAAAACTCGGTATAAAAAATTATCCTTGTTTTTAGCAGAAATGAAAACAAAGGGAGTTATTAATACCTCTGTTGTTAAAGGTGTTGAAAGTATATTATCAATTAAGGTAAGATTTTGATTAAAATTTTATAGAAATAATTGTTGCTTTCAGTAATTGTATATTTTTTTATAGTTTGATCATCCTCTTCTAAAAGAATTGGTCATTATAGAGGAACCTACATCAACCCAGGAGCCAATTGTTTCCAATGCGGCAGTCGTCTCTGAATGTTATAAAGTGACTGCCGATGTTTTACCAGTACTATCAAAATTTGGATATGAGTGAGTATACAGTGCTACACTCGGGATGTGTCACGTTGCCGTGATACAATAAATGCAAAAAGATTGATTTTCTGTGCAGAGCAGAAGTCGACAACTGTTACATCATATACCATTATGCTGTATTATATGATACGAATTATGTATATTTTACTCCCATACAATGATTGCAGAAAAGGAGACATTATGAAAAGAGCTGAGATCAGAAAATGTTTTACTGAATACGTGAAAGCAGAGAATCTTCAAGATGGAAGGTAAAGAATTAATGATGAAATATATGTTTTATTATAATATAATATAATTTTGTTTAATAAAATAATTTTGTTTATAGGATACTGAAACTGAACCCGCAACTCGCAGGTATTATGAAAACTAAAGCGAATGTGGAAACTGTAATGATGGAGGATGGAATAAACAAGTTTATTGGACGTATGACGCATATGCATGAAGTTACTCTAGCAGGAAATAAATTGTTACACACGGGTAAATTGGAACCTATTGATATGAGAGTCACTGTTCGATCCGGTGGTAAAAAGGTATATATTGATTCTGAAAATTAATATATAAAATTAACATATAAGATTGTGAAACGTTACTATTTATTTATTTAATGTTATCTATAGGTAACGCTAGTAAATAATTTGGAAACATTTGGTATAAATGCTAAAGAATTTAGCAAAGAATGCCAAAATATTGGAGCGAGTGCAACAATTACGGATGAACCGGGGAAAAAAACTCCTAGTGTTCTAGTTCAAGGAAATCAAATTTTATATGTCTACAAATTACTTACAGGCAAGTAATAAAATCGATATTTTATAAGATATTAAAAATATTTGTATATCTTTTGAAATAAATATTAATTTTTCAGAAAAATATCAAATTAAAAAAAACTATATAAGAGGATTAGAATTCGCTCCAAAGAAACAAGGTTCTCATAAAAAATAAGATATCTTTGAATAGTTATCACGCTATAGATGTGACATGTTATATGAAAAATTATGTTATATGTGATCTATTTTTTTATTTATTTAAATACCAATATTTCTCTGTCATAATTTTTTCATTGTTTGAAAAATTATATAGCATTCATGATATAGCGAGAATGTAAAATCCGTGAATCAGTCGATGTCCTTATTGAATTAGAATTACTTAATGTAGAATCTCGTTATATATGACGCTATTATAATTATTATAAAAAGCATGCTATTATTTTTGTATATTTTTTCTTAAAATAATAATTTTCATTTAATGATTAAATATTAAATATACAAAAACAATTTATGATAATACTACAACTCACAAATAAATCATTCTCGATAAATTTTTATGTAATCATTTATGTATCCTCAACCTTTTATAAATAAATAAATATTAAAATAAAAAGAAGATGAAAAGAAACAGATGATTAATCAAAAGAGAATCAAGAATCCAAGTTTGTTAATATAATTTATTGTATATCGAGGTTTCAACATGGAAAAGTACAAATATTGCAATATAGGGCCCGCGAGCTCTCCTCGGGTGGGAGGGAGGGAGGGAGGAGGGTACAATTCATAGGAAGGAGAGACAACGCACGTTTAAGATATCTTGAGAACTTTTTTTTGTTCTGATTTGTTCTGACGAAAATGTGCTTGCTATGCACCAAAACCGAGGATATGAGGTATACATATGAAGATCTTATATATTTCCACTGTTTTTTTTCTCTTACCTGGCAACAGGGAAAAGTCAGTGGATTGACGAGTAATCCACCGAAATTTCTTTTGAGTAAAGGAAGGTTCCCTCCTCTCCACGGCCCCCGCATATATTTAATACTCGTTTTGTTCTTTTTCTGCTACCAGTACGCACGGACGCGTCACGATTTTGGCGCGCGACGCGCACGTGCGTGTCGTGACAGTTATTATTCTTTTTTTTTTTTTTTTTTATCATCATCATTACCATCGTTATCATTATCATCTTCACTTTCTGTTCCTTAACTAAGCAGGCGGCCTCCGGCAACCATGATCGCCCGATTTGATCGATTATTTATCCATTTGATTCATCGATCGAAGAAACGATGAGTTCAGAAAGTATCTTAAAGTACTTATTTCTCAAATTTTTCAACATGTACGACGATATTACTTTCTGATTGGATTGACGGGTTTTTGGGCGGATATGACATAACACTTCGGTGACAGTTCTTTAAATTTTTCAAGATGATACGAATCTTGTATTTTTATAGTCATACGTATATTCAATATTTAGCGCTTGTTTGCCCGCGAAGTGTTTAATTATATGTAGCTCTCAAAATTTACTTTCTAGGAATCAACTGATCGTTTCTTAAACATCATCGATCATCAAATCGTGATTAAAAACATTCGCGTTTAACGTTGAAACATTTCAAAGCACCCTTAAGTTTTTATCTCACTAGCTCTCCCCTTATCCTCAAAATAAATAACTTCGTCCGAGATTATCATCACAATTAGTCAAACTTGATCTTATTCTCGATCGACGAGCGTTATCACGGCTGCAACAAAGTGCCTTTGTTTCATTCTCTCTTTCTCTCTCTTTCTCTCTCTCTCTTACATTCTCTCTCTTTCTCTTTATATTCTAAATCGTTTTTTTTTTCTCTCCTTTTTTTGGGAACATATTGCGCCTACCGTTGTTGCCTTATTCATCATTGGTTACGATCACAACCGTAATCATCGCTTCAATTGATCATCTGTCATTTATCATCGTTCTTCATAATATAATTACTGAAATTTCACCAATACCAACTTTTCTCATGTCTCTACATCATTCACCCTCGCGCTCATTCTCTCTTTTCTCTCTTGCTCTCTTGTTTCCTTGTACGCTCTCTCTCCCTTTCTCTCTCTTACGTTTTTTTCTTTCATACTTCCATTCTCTCTTTCTCTCTCTCTCTTTCTCTCTTTCTTATTTCGCCTTCGGAATTTTCATAGTTTTTTTATGCAACACATAATGCGACTAGGTAGTACAGATTAATTAATAATTAATATTGTTAGTTATACAATAATAACGTATGACTAGACAATGCAAGATAATAATTATATCGTAAATAGTAATAATCATGGATCGCAATTTATATCAACAATTGTGATGGCGCGCACGTGTTTTCGAAAATGTTGCTGTCTGTTTTGTTTTTTTTTTTTTTTTTTTTTTTTTTTTTTTCCCTTTAAGTCATATTTGTGTCTGTTATGTGCCACAGTGTGCGTGAATGGTCTTCTTTTCTTGTACGTGTGGGTGCATGTAATCATGTATTCGTGTGCTTTGATTGTACGCGGATTTGTAGTACACATCCAATATAATCTTTTCCGTTCCTCCATTTTATTAGATGTTAAAGATATAAGAGTATGTTATTTAAATTTGTATGTCTTGTAACATATGTGTGTGTATATGTATGTATTGGTGATATGCACCTACATGCGCATATCTGTAATTTCTGTCTCGCGTATGATATAGAAAAAGTATACATTAGTAAGATTCTTGTAAATTCGTGTAAATATTCAACACATTTCTAGTTCGTTGCCCTAAAGTGATTTCGTGAGGCGACGACGAAGAATGCTCGACGGAACCCATTAGGAACGAACATCCCATCGTTGTTTCCTCGAAAAATGAATTCTGTTCCCTTATGCGGATCATCGTAAGATACGTATACGTATGTCTTCATCGATGAAGGAAGTGTGTTTTAATTTGCTTCGCTTGGCCGGTTACATTTTTTTTTCTTTTTTTTTTCTTTTTTTTTTTTTTTTTTTTTTTTTTTTTTTTTTTTTTTTTTAAATCGAATAAACCTCGAATTTGCATTTGATAAATCATGATTACACGTACGCAATGAAAAGATCAATATTATGTAGTTATAACATAGAATTAAATAGAAAAGTACATACATAGAATCAAACTACTTACGAAATACTTGACTTTTAAATATATGCATAAACATTTAAACGAATATATTTAGATAATAATAGAGCACAATGTCACAAATTATCATAATATTATACTAATTTTAATTGTAATTCGAGGTTTTGAAACTTGAAACTATTATAGACGGACTCGCGTATGCATGTGTGTGTGTGTGTGTATGCGTATGTATATATGTGTGTGTATGTGTATATGTATATGTAGAGGAAGCTTTTTTGCTCTGTACTACGTAATATTAAATCGGTATCCCGATTAACCTCTTAAAAAGCACGCCCATATATACTTATTGCACAACAATAGCCGTCGCGGTGTTATTGAGAATGCTTGAAAAATTTCCACGTGAGAATTATATGTGTATAATATAATATAATGTAAATACAATATAATATAATGTAATATAATATAATATAATGTAATATAATGTATATATAGATATATCTAACCTCCACATAATACTTCAATGGGAATTTCTACCTGTAGTTGTATAAATAATACATGTAAGTAATAATCATGCGATAAGTACACAGTAATATGATAAATGACGATAATTAAATACAGATTATACTTATATAGGTTTAGATTTATTCAACGTTTCGCACCTAGACGAACTTTAAATAAAACCATGCTCGGCCCTATTAGAAAGGTATACGAAGAAAGTATATCCCGCGAAACACTCGACAAACAAATCGTCCATTTTATTATTCGAGAGCGCTTAGTTAATTGAAGATTCTACTCTTTAAGAGGTTAAATGATTTGCTGGCGCAACGTTTCCAACAAGATCGATCAATCGTTAGATCGACATATCGATTGAATTCAAAAACATGTCGATATATCGATATACGATGGATCGATGGTAACAGTGATTACACGGTATCCTTCGCGGTGATGACACCCTGCGAAATTGATTTTCTTCGTGAAATAATTTCATCAGGAGTCCGGTGATGATCATAGATGCTCTTTGTTATAAAGATTGAACGTTACGAAAGAAAATATTCTCTACGACTGTCACCCACGTGAAAGCTCGAAAAGAAACCCTTTGATTCCTTTTGATTTCTTTTTTCTTTTTTTTTTTTTTTTTTTGTTTCCCCCAATTGCCTTCTCGATTCTAGTCTCGATATGCTGCGATCAAAGCACCAGTCGTTATTTAACAATGAACATGAATGTTCGTGTCATTCGCGATCGAGGTGATCAACGATATACATATAAAGGTTTATTTCGATTTTCTAACGTAAAACAAGCATAACTTGCTCGCTAACGTAGAATTATCGAAGTGGATAATCAAGTGTCTAGCAATTAACGAGGTAATTAGAAAGAGGAAGAAGCTCAGTGTTCCGATGCTTGGTCGATGCGTGAACGTTAGGCCTGTGCACGACCGACAGTAGTTATAGTCCGTGCGTGATCAGACGCAGGCCAAACTTCCTAGCAGAGAAAATAGCATCTCTGCAAAAAAAGATTTTTTTTTTTTTTCTTATATTTTCTCTTTTCCCCTTGAAAAGAAGAAAAGGACTCTTTTCTTTTAGAAAATTTTCTGTTTTCTATTCACTCAGCAACTCAATTGAGAGCCATTCGATTGGAAAATAGTACAAGCCCATGTAATATTAGACATGGAATGAAGTTCTTAGTAAAAAGATTTTTCACTTCTTAGAAGTTTTTCTATTCGTCAACTTGATTCGAAGATTGTTCGATCGATCCTAGTATAAACAGGATTCAGATTTTTACACTTTTTTTATCATAGTATCATGTTTTAGTCATTAAATTTCATCTATATTAAAATGTATCGTTTCTCAAGCAGAAAATTTCCTATTTTTGTGTTTAATCTTACGTTAATACGGATAACTTTGTAACTTAATATAGACAATGATATTTCCATGTTCATAAATTATCGACCGATCGAAAAACGATACTCGAATCAAGCAATCAATCCTTTCACAAATCAGTCTTACTTTGTCTACATTCACAGATTTCCCTCGACCACCCCTCCATCCCACCCTAAACATTTGTTTAATAATAAATAATCGCTATATATTTTTTTTTTTTTAAATTGTAAATCGTCCCATCGATAATCGATCTATAACGATTCTCGCGTTCACTCTCGCTAGATGTAAAGCGTACGAATTTTTGGTATTCCCTTTTTTTTTTTTTTTCTTTTTTTTTTTTTCTTATAATTCCACCTCTGGCGACATTTAATCGCTATACATATATCCTATATACGTTCGTAAATCATTATCACGCAGTATGATTTCATGCAGTCCATCTTGCGGAATGTTCGATGATATTACATTTAACATTTACATTTAAATTTGTTCTTTAGCGGAGAACGTTCCCGTAAATTCGACAGTATTTTTATTCTGGAATCGTTCCATAATTACTGGAAGCATCAAAAACTTTGGCGAGAATCATCGAAGTTTAATCCCTTGCTAACAAAC